ATTTAGTTTAAACTGAATTAACTCATGATCACTCAAACCAAGGTTGTCTTTTACAACCAGCTCTTCTATGAGGTCCTCACTACTCACTAATACCAAATCTAAAATGGCTTCACCTCTTGTTGGTTCAGTGACTATTTGGTGAAGAAATCTGCCAGCTATTACACCCAGGAAAATCTGGGCCCTACTGTTATTAGGAGCACTTGTCCTCCAAGCTATATCTGATAAATTAGTCTCCCATAATCACACAATTCCCAGTAGTATTTATTTCATTAAAAACATGAAAGAGGTCTTGTCAGGGTTCCCTCCCCACTCTAAACTCTAGGGTACAGATGTGGGGACCCGCATGAATGACCCCCTAAGCTTATTTCTACCAGCTTAGGTTAAAAACTTCCCAAGGCATAAATTCCTTCCTTGCCCTTGGTATCGCTGCCACCACCAAGTGATTTAAACAAACATTCAGGGAGGGCTACTTGGAGCCCTATCTCCCCCAAAATATCCCCCCAAGCCCCTACACTCCCTTTCCTGGGGAGGCTTGAGAATAATATCCTAACCAATTGGTTACAAAGTGAGCACAGATCAACCCCCCTGGGTCTTTAGGACACTGAAAAACAATCAGGTTCTTAAAAGAAGTTTATTTGAAAAAAAAAATTAAAGGATCACCTGTAAAATCAGGATGGAAGATAACTTTACAGGGTAATAAAAAGATTCCAAACACAGAGGATTTCCCCTCTAGGCAAAATTTTAAAGTTACAAAAACAGGGATAAACCTCCCTCTTAGCACAGGGAAAATTCACAAGCTAAAACAAAAGATAATCTAACATATTTCCTTGCTATTACTTACTATTTCTGTAATATTAGATGCTTAGTTCAGATATGGCTTAGAGAGATGTATTTTCCCTACCCTGGCTCCTCGCTGACCCAGAGAGAACAAAGGAACCCGAAAACAAAAACCTCCCCCCACAGATTTGAAAGTATCTTCTCCCCTTATTGGTCCTTTTGGTCAGGTGCCAAGCAGGTTATCTGAGCTTCTTAACCCTTTACAGGCTAAGGAGGGATTTTATGCTACCCTTAGCTGTATGTGTATGACAGGTCTCTATTCATATCCAAACCAGATTCTGGTGGTCTGTCGTACACCCCAAATACTATGTCAGGGGAACCTCTAGTAGTTTTCTTCCCCAAAGTGATTTTGGCCCAAACAGACTCTGTCTTATCCATTCTCACAGCTTCTTGTAATGATAGTAGATAAAGTTTTCAAACCAATATGATTTAAGTTTGTGGTGGCCCTTTAAAAAAATGCTACAAATCTTTTGAGAAGATTTAATAAGCTATTATTACCTGTAACTTCATTATATAATGGATCAGGAGCACTATTACAGATAAAGTGGTGTCATGTCATCTCCTTAAAAGTTGACTTGTTTAAGTCCTCTAAAATCAACAGGCTTCATTGTATTTCTTTGACATTTGGTGTGTCTCAGGAGGGTTCAGTGTAGGGTTAGTGTTCCAAATGTGGAGTCATTTGAGCCAGGGGTTCTGGAAATAAAAGCCGCCTCCTCCCCCAGTAATTTTTAAAAATGTTTCTAGTTTGCTCAGAGCTAGAGATCAAACCATAGTAGTGATGCGGATCAAAAGGCTCTCAATCTATCAAGTTTTACCCGAGGTAGTGCATGGCACCCACTAAATATCTGGGGGACCCAAACTGAGAATGGTATTTAAGAAAATGTACATATATTACAGTGTGTATGAGCCAATATGGAAAAAAGGCCAAAGGGTTTCCATTCCTATTTTTTGCACCTTAAACTCAAATTTTATAAGTGTTCTAAAATCCAAACGGTTACTCAAATTGCCTTGAAAATTGGTGTGCCTCATAGGGGTTTTAGGGTAGGGCTAGTGATCCAAATTTGAAGTCATTTGACCAAGGGATTCCTAAATTATTGTGCCCCTCCAAAAAACACACACCCTGTTTTCTTCTGTTGACTTGTACTGTTAAACTGAGAGGTACTAATGACTGGATGAATCACAAACATCTTGATGGCTGTGAACTCACCCTTCAATTAATGTATCTAAGGATAAATTAATCACAATCCCCCATGTAAGACAAAAGGAGTTTTGAAATGAGTGGCTGGAGGCTGCTGCAATTTGTGAGTAATGGGTGGCAATTTCATTTGGGGGGGAATGTAATCAAAGTGTTTGGGAGAAAAATTAGACATGTGAATGCTTCTTGAGAGGGGAGAACATTGGAAGTTCAAGTGAAGGAGGTATAGTACCCCCCAGCTCTGCCAGTGCAACCCAACTCTCCTGCGGCACACAGCTCTGCCAGTGCACCTCAACCTCACTGCATCCCAACCTTTCTGCACGCCAACCACCCTGAAGCCCATCCTTCCTGCACCTCCAGGACTGACAGTGCACCCTAGCCACCCTGCAGCAGCCAACCCTTCCTGCACCTCCAGGTCTGCCAGTGCACCCCAACCACCCTGCAGCCCAACCCTAATTAATTTTTCCTTTCTGTCCTTTTAATAGATGGAATCCTGTAGATGAGAGTGAATGGGTTGTAAAAGGAGGCAAAGAGCTTGTACATTTCAGCAATTGTGGGGTTGGCAGAGTAAAGGTACACGTGTTAATGGGCATATTGGGGCATTGTTGAGTTAAGATTGCTTGGGCAACTTTAACATCACATCTCCTGGTGTTCAGAAATTTCAGTTTTGCTCAACTCAATGTTCTGCAAAGGGGCATCATACTACCAAGCAACCTTAACTTTATGTTAACATTTTTTCCCATTGCATTGCATTGTATTAAAGTCTAGTCCATACCACAGCTACGGTTACCAAAATCTCTAATGTACAAACATTGATACACATTACAATGCACAACATCAGACTGGCTCTGCATCATGCAGTGATCTTCACAGACAAATACATACCTTAAATTTTCTACCATAGGTGCCCAACTAGTTGCACATTTGCTAATGGTGGTGTTCTGAAGGTCCCTGCTTACTGTTCAAAACATATCGCTTTAGAAGCTTTTATAATATTATGTCTCCTACTGTTGATTTCTCACTCAGGTTCAGAAGGCCAAATTTGCTATTGTTTTAATGCAAAACTTTAATTGAGACTTTGGCTCATAAAAACAGCACCTTTCTGTTCCATCGAGTTTTTAATGCATTCCAAGATTCTTTGGCATAAAGTGCATCATAAGAGTTTAATTCTATATTGTATCTGATTGCATGAATAGTTAGATGGTTCCAGTTTTTACCAGAGTAACAGTGTATCATTTGGGTGGCAAAACATGCATTAATCTCCTGTGAAAAACAAGTACTGAAAACCCTCAATGTTCACTTGTTTTATTTTCTGTTTCTTGGGTTACATTTTAAAGGTGTATATGCCACCACTCCCATGAACATCAGCAGGGAACTTGTGGCTAAATCTCCACCTAGGGTTTCAAAAATCTTTGCTGCTCAGTTCAAGAACATTTCTCTTGTTGGGCCACTGAAAGAGACAGGTGAAGATAGCCACAGAGAATATACATGGGCCTTCTGCTTTAAAACTTTTAGGTTAAAATTTTTGGATATTATAATGCTTGCAGTGAAATACTATAATTTTGATATACATCAAGTATGATTCAGGAAGGGTAAATACAATAGCTACTCAGAACTGTTGCTAAAAATTCACGTGACATAAATTAGGGTACAGCTAACAATTTAAGACTTAAGACTTTGTTCAGTAAGGTTGCATTTCATGTAGCTAAATTCATAACTGATGGCATATTAACCACTCAACCACAATGGCCATTGCAGAGTTTTCAGAAGCTTGATCATTTGGCAGCAAAAAGGATTACACTAACTTCTCTCTAGGGTTCCTAGCTGTCATAATTCAAAGCCGTAGCTAAAGATATAACACTATTAAAGGACAAAACACTATTAAAGCAGATAAAAATATGAAACAAGTATGATTTTTAAAAGACTATGATAAAGATATAGTACTCCTATATTTCATTACAATTAGAAAACTGAAGTTTAAAAAAGGATTCTGGCTTAGTAGCTTGATTTTAGCAGGGATTTCTAGTGCTGCCATAATTAAGTTTGCATCAGCATTTCCATTATAAATGTACAACCAAAAAAATGTATTCCATGATGTAACTTGGCATAAAAAGTCCACATCTCAGGCACAAGTTTTCTACCACCACAAATTTGGTTTGGCTGATTTTAAGCTATAAATCTGGAAATTAAAAAAATTGAGAAAGTGGAAAAAACCTTAAGATAGTAGCTTTCAATTTCAAAACAGCTAACATTTAAATGGAACTTGCAGCTAGTTAGCTAGGTTCACCAGAACATTACTCTAGTTTTACACTGGAGTAACTCCACTGAAATACAGTGGTGATCAGAACCAATTAGCTCATTAAAGAGCTAATTGTTTTTTATATTAAAAACTAAGTTAATTCAACAACTGATATTTATCTTTGCATGGGTTTACAACCTCTCTTCAAAGTATTTTGTACTTACAGGAGCACTTCATTTATTCACGCTGACTAGAAGACCTAGTGCAGATTCCCAGATCAGAAAATGAACAAGGAAGTTCAAGGGCACTACATGGCCAAATGTAGTTTGTTTGTTTTTATTTTGACACATACAGCTAACTTGTCATTTAAAATACTGAAACTTATTTCACTAGCATTAGGGTTTAACCTCTGTTAACATAGTTTTGTTTTGTTTTTGTTAAAGGCAAATATCCACATAAGGAACGCACCACTTTCATAAAGATGAACTTGCGACATAGCTGAAAATAAAAAGGAGCAGTTAAAGTTCCATATTTTACCTGAGCTCTCTCACCTTAGAACCCAGTAGTCCTTATGCAGGTGTACCACACTCTCCCTTACACCAAGGCTGAATTTGACCTGCTGTTTTGAAAGCAAATATTAAAGCCAACATGTACAGAGTGCAGTGGGCTGGCAAATGGAAGTTACTAGTTTTCAAATATGAGTCACTCTTTTTCCAGATTCACACTGACCTGTTCTGGGTACTTGCTCCCGACTATTTCTGCCACAGTGTTAAAGGAACCAGTATCAGGATAGGTCTTGGCTTCCATCTTCAGGGTCACAACAATCCTGGTGCCTCGGGAAGACATCCGTGCCATCATTTCGGCATCTTCCACTGAAATACAAGCTGTAGGAATCTTCGGCACATCAGACTGGTACTGCTGCCACCCAGTGTGAGGGCTACAACAACAACAAAGACTGCATTAATGATCTAAATTTGCAGGTTATTTTAACTAGTCTAGGGTTATTAACACAGCACGTTTTGTGTAATTAATTATTAGTAAATAAAACTATATGCACTGGCAGTTAAGGTTGCAGCAGGGCACACCCCATTCACCCAAAAGCTTAAGACTAGAAATAAGAAGTTGAGGGGAAAGACTGATGTATTCCTTTCCACCTTCATATTGTCTACAACACTATTGATGATGCATTCCAACCCTCCTTAAGACTTTCACTTTCCTCTCCAACAGATATCCAAAAGCTCTACATACTCCAACTTCATCAAACTTGTACTCTAACACAAAACTTTAACAGTAACCTCGTATACTTTTATAACCATTGTATCAACAGATCAGCACATCTGACTGTCTCACATTCGTTCACTTGGGAAGTTATTCTGTCTTTACTAGTGTGGCAGAATTCAATTTAAATGATAAATGTTGGCTAACATCGATTTCAGCTGACACACTGAAATTGATGAAAAAAATCCATCTGTAAAGGTCAGGTGAGCGCAGCCTTCTCCCCACACCTTGTGCCTGCAGGGATCAGGTGTCACTAGCCCTGTGGCAGGGCAGGGAACCCTCTGCAGGAATGAGTGAATAGGGCTGTGATAGTAGTGCTGCAGAGGGCTCCCTGAACAACCACAGGGCCGGCAACTCCTGATCCCTACAAGCACAAGGAAGGCTGTGGTCCTGGCGAGACAGAGTGGAGAACCCCAGCCAGGACTACACGGAGGAGGAGCCCTAGACTGTGGGGGAGGCCATTCCACTGCTGAAGGGATTCCTACCCAGGCAGGAACTGTTCAGCAGCCGAGGGCTTGTTCTTCTCCTTGCAGCCTGTCTGGGGGTCTCTGCTCTGCCAGGTCAGGACCACAGACTCTCCCACACCTTGTGTCTCAGTGTCTGGGGCCTCACCCTTGCCGCCCCACGGTCAATGCTGGGAACCCCTGGCCGCCACACTATCAGTGCTGCCCTAACCCCAACCCTACCCCTTCTTAATTTCCCACAACTGTAAAAATAAAAAGTTAAACGTTTTTAAACATATATAAAAAATTGATATTAATCACCAAATTGCAAAGAAATAAAAAAATAGTATTCTGCCAAGGCTAGTCTTAACACTGCCAAGGTCACTGTGACCCATAGATCTTTGATGCCAACTGACTGGCAGTAGGGTGACCAGATGTCCCGATTTTATAGGGACAGTCCTGATTTTTGGGTCTTTTTCTTATATAGGCTCCTATTACCGCCCCCCACTCCTGTCCCAACTTTTCACATTTGCTGACTGGTCACCCTAACTGGCAGAGGGCACAGAGGGTTTTACAGGGATCCCCTGGGTCAGATATATGCATAATAGTTCACTGGAAGGTGTCATGTGAGGTCACTATTGAGATCCAGTAGCCCACTAGTTGTCATAATTGTTGAGAAATGGATGTACGGATAATACCTATGGAGTTATGTATCTATACTAAAATTTGTGTGTTCTTAAAGTCTTGGAGTTAAGGCAGGCCACCAGGAGGTGATCTACCTTGGAAATGTTCCTTTCAGACAGGAGGTAGCAGACACCTAACTCCTGATCTGGTAATTTGTGTATGGGATGTCTCATGATGCAGGCCTACTTGCATACTGAGCCAGAGAAGAAGAGGTTGAGAAATCTACAAGATGAAACCAACAACAGGAGGTGTCCTGTTTGTGAATAAAGACAAAGGATGGAACTTGCACATCTTGTGGAGGGAGCAAAGGAACATTCTGGGTCCTTCACCTAGGAGGCAAGCTGACAACTTGTCTCATGAAAGGAGGATCTCAGTCAACCTGGCTGTAAAGCACTGCAAGGATTTTGGTCAGCGTTACTCTACAAGATATGAAAGTATCTAGCTAGTTAAGTCTAGGCGCTAGACTGAGTTGATTTTCTTTTATCTGTAACCATTTGTTTCCAATACTTTTACTTGCTATTACTTAGATCTCTGTGCTTTCTTACATAAACTTGTTTCACAGATCTAATTGCTGTGTGTTAAGTGGCCTGGGTATCTGAGGCCAAACAGTTAAGCTGGGGTGCACGGTTTCTTTGTAAGTAGTGAATCTGTGAATACTGTAAGTGTCCAGTGCACCAGGGGCTGAACACTCCATGGGGATGCTCGGAGGTCTCGAGGCTTTGAATGTGCCCATTGCTAACCTGCGCACCCAGATAACATGGGTATAAATAGCAGTGTAGACAGTGAGGCACTGCTTAGGCGAGTACAGACACACCAGAACACAGCTCTCTATGTGCCCAAGCAGCGCCTCCCGCATCTACGGTCAGCAATGTAGTGTCCCGCTGCTGGAGCCTTCCCCTGCCACAGTGAAAGACTCTGGCAGCACGGAGCTTTCTACATGCCACCAGTGAGGCCAGTGGGGGCCTAGAGGAGAGTGCTTGTATTGCTTGTGGAGCATGGGAGCTGACCTCCGGCAGGCACAAACAAGGCTTCCTCACATTAAGGGCAGGTAATAGCGAGGTGCCCGATAATCCTGAGTACCCACAGGAAGCACAAGTCACTGCTAAAGCTTTGCGTTAGAGTGCGTTACAGTGGGTTCTTAAATATTGGAGGATTCGCTACTTGATGACTACTACACCAGGAAGAAAAGTGGAAAAGTCTCAAGTTGCAGTGGGGGAGGTTTAGATTGGATATTAGGAAAAACTTTTTCACTAGGAGGGTGGTGAAGCACTGGAATGGGTTACCTAGGGAGGTGGTGGAATCTCCTTCCTTAGAGGTTTTTAAGGTCAGGCTTGACAAAGCCCTGGCTGGGATGATTTAGTTGGGGATTGATCCTGCTTTGAGCAGGGGGTTGGACTAGATGACCTCTGCTAGTCTGCTATTCCTTAATTTTTGAGTGATTAACTATGTAATCTTAATAATGTTCTTTTAATGTAGCGTTTTTGCATGTATAATATAAAATGGCCTGGGAAAGATATCATTTTATTATATGGACTTCAAGTTAGACCGCCACATCAGCAGCAAAACCTGGCTCTGGTCTTGGCAGAATGCTTGTCTACTTCACTTTTCATAAGCATCATATTAACAACATTATAGCAAATGGCAGCATGAACTCAACTCATTTATAAAGCAAAAGTAGTTCAACAAAAGATGTCAAATTAGACAAAACAATTACAAATTCTCACACAATACACCCTAAATTTTGCATACAATGTAAGCAATAAAACACTTTCACTTAGATATTTGCTGACCAAATAATGCAAACACACAAAACCAAATTCTGGACTCATGTAACAAGGAATAGCTCCACTGAAGTGCCTGTTTACATCAGCGTTAAATTTGCTCAAAATTTTCAAAAACCAGGATGAGACATCTTATTTTGTCTCATGCCACTGCTGATTTTTTAATATACAAAACAGAACCAGGCAATAGAGTTATTATGGACCAAAACTGTACATCAATAACTAGAGCTTTTAGCACTTTATATTTCAAATGTATTTGGGAATTCCCAAATTTCAAAGAAGCCATTTGAAGCAATGTGCTTAGTGGTCCCTGTTTATGACTATTTGTCATACAATTATACAATGCTGACTGGAATGACAAATATTAACATTGCAGTGAGACCCTGCCATGACTATTAGGCAAGATTCTGAAGAGGCTGAAAACTTTGAAGCCAACTCTTGTTTTTATGAACTTCCTAACTAGTGAGGTAAGGTTGGAAGGACAGATTTTATTGCTGCTTTCAAACCAGATCATGGACATACATACTGACCATTTTCTGCGTAGTATATATATATATATATATATATATATATATTTGCATGTTAAAAATGCCTCACTCTTGGAAAGGATAGTACTGTGTTTAGCAATTAAGCATGCAATTTGTAAGAGTCGAGTATGTTTATATGAAACTAATCTCACACTTTCGCACATTTAGCAAGAATTCAGAAGAGAAATGCTACTTTCTCAAATTCTTCCAGACTGGATAAAAACACTAGAAAATACTATTGAGGAAAAAAATTCCAATGGCTAGGGAATGAACTTGATTACTTGGACAGATCTTTCCAATTTTTCTCATATGAGTCTATAAAAAAGCCTCCTGCAATCTAGACAACATTAACGAAACACACTACACTGATAACACTGTGCCTTTAGAACAAACATTTAAGGAACACCATTAATTTTAGAAAGAACTAATGTAGTTTTAGTATTAGAGGTATTGAGGCCCCCTTCCCCAACCAAATTTCTTTACCTTTCTAATCACATTTTCCTATTTCTTTTAAAATGTTTTTATGCCACAATGGGGATAAGAGACCTACACAAATACGAGGGGAGACTGACTGTCTTTAGTGACTAAACATACATTGCTGTAAAATGCACAATTATTGGTCCTCAAGATTTTTTGAGCTACAATAATCTTCATTAGCAACAGAGGGTCCTGTGGCACCTTTAAGACTAACAGAAGTATTGGAGCATAAGCTTTCGTGGGTGAATGCCCACGAAAGCTTATGCTCCAATACTTCTGTTAGTCTTAAAGGTGCCACAGGACCCTCTGTTCCTTTTTACAGATTCACACTAACACGGCTACCCCTCTGATACTTAATAATCTTCATTGTTACTTGTAACTATAGTGAGTACAAAATTTTCAAACAGAACTGGGATTTGTAAATTGATGGTGTCCTTTTCAATTAGTTTAGTAGTTTCCTCCTAAAGGGCTCAAAATACTGTTCAAAAACTATGGTCCTGATTCAGCAGAGCATGTTTCAATACTTTGCTGAATCAGACCCTACCATCCCAGTTCCGCAGCCCTATTCGGTCAAAACTCTGTATTCAGTTGAAAAGATTAAACTAAGTTAATAGTATTTTGCCTAAGTAATAACAGCAGTGTTGTGTCCTATATGCAAAGGGAGACACTTCACCCACCACTAAATTTCAGCCATCTGAATGTGAGGCAGCACGATGTACAACAAGGAAGCAAGAACGTATTTTGGCA